GATGCTCTTCTGGAATGCCGTCAGGTGGGCGTGGGTCAGCTAGCCCAGGCTCAGGCCCACCCCCCTCCCCTACACACACCTGCAGGACCGACAGGGCGCCATTCTTCCCGTAGCCAGAGCACACCACGATCTCCAGGTCTGGCTCAGGGCTGTTCTGGAACTGCACAGGGGCTGGCGTGAGGCCCGTCCTCCGTCCCCACCCCTCCGCCTGGCCGATGAGCCCATACTCTGCCACCCCAGTGCCCACCTCTTCCGAGAGGAAGGCCGGCTCGCCCATGGCTGCATTGGCACAGGGTCCGATGTTGAGGATGCTGTCACACACCTGCCAGCACACCAGCATTGGGTCAGTCCCGCCAGGTGTGGGGCGGGCACCCCTGCAGGCCCAAACCCACCTCAAAGGAGTAGGTGGCCAGCTGCGTGCCCGACTGGGCCTCGCTGCCATACACTTCGATCTCGTCCACCTCATCCTGCGGCACCGTCGAGCTCCCTGCAGGACACAGCCTGTCAAGCTCTGACCGGGTCAGGGCCCACCTGAGCCCGGCCCACAGCCCTCACCTGACCAGCCTCCTGTGGGGTCCACTCGCTTCTTCTTCGAGGGAGGCTCCTCCTGTGGGGGGGAGGCAGAAGTTGGTCCCATCTGCCAACTCTGCAGCGCGGTGGGCAGATGGGCAGCGAGGACCCACAGGCCTAGGGACCCACCTTGTCAGCAGCTTCGCGGACCGCACTGGCCGGGGGCTCCTGCAGCTTCTCCGTGTACTTGAGGAGGAGGGAATTGCCCAGGCGAGAGCCCAGGAACAGGTAGCCAGGCTCCATGGTGACCATCTGAAGGGAAAGGCAGTGGGGGTGAGTGCAGGTCAGCCAGGACAGGCCCAACCCCCAGCCCCAACTCACGCTGGTGGTGAGGACGCTGGCGGCTGCCTTGTCGAAGTGGAAGGCTCGGACGCTGCGCATGCCGTCGGTTACCAGGGTCAGCACGTAGCTGCAGGGCAGGCAGTAAGTGGGCAGGGCATGGGGGAGGGGGCAAGGCAGAGAGCCGGGCACCCGGCTGCGTGGGTGGGGTTGGCGGGCGGGCTCACATTTCGCCTCCCTTGAGGGAGATGACCATCTTGTCGTAGGAGATGAAGGCAGCATGAGCACAGTCCAGGGTGAGCCGCACACCATCCTGAGTGCCTGTGAGGGCAGGAGGCCACTGCTGTCACCAGCCCTTCCCCTCCAGGGATTCTGCTATAGGGCATGTGCACTCCTCATGCCCTATAGCAGGGAGAAGTCGCCCTGCCCTGGGGAACGGGATGCTGCAATTCCTTCTCCATTCTCCTCTACGGATTCTTTTGGGTACATGCACACACTGGCCCGGCAAGCCAGCAGGTCTGGGACTCAAGCCATGGTAGTCCACGTGGGACCCCAGTGAGCTGGCCTTACGCCACCTGTTGGTCCCATCCACCAACCGCTCTAAGGAAGGCCAGTCTAGACCTGCACCAGAGCTCTGAATCCCGCCCGGCGCCCTGGACTGGGCTCCACCCCCCTGCAGCCGTGCCCCTGGGCCACCTCACGCCTACCCTGGCCACTGCCCACCCACACTCACGCAGGGGGAAGGCTGTGGTGCCCGCAGTCAGGCTGTTGAGTGCGACGCCGTAAGGAGGGACACTCTGGTTCAGGTACAGCAGCGAGTTGACAGCAAAGACCACCACCCCACCTGCAGAGGGCACAGGCTGGTGGGCAGGCTCGACGCCCACACCTCTCCCCACTCCCCGAGCACACACCTATGGGCTTGGGCACGGCCAGGGCCTGGGTGCAGTCGAAGGGCAGGCTGGTGAGGGACCAGATGACCGGGTGGACCCTCTGCGTGATGTTCAGCGAGATGGCCACGATGGAGCACGTGTCCTGCCTCACGGCTACCCGCCTGGACAGCGGGTGAGTTAGCGGCCACGACACTCCTCCGCAACCCCACCCCACCAGCCCACCCGGATGAACAGCCTCTGCTAGGCTCACCCCGGCCAGGTCTGGTTGGGCTCAAACAGGATGAGCAGGGTGGGCTCGTAGTAGCCATGCAGGAACTGCAGGTCCACAATGTTGAGCAGCTTTTCGTCCAGGGCACGCACGTCGATGATGTAGCTGGGCAGGAAGCTGGATCTCTGCCTGGGAGCCGGGAGCTGTGAGCAGCGGGTGGGGTGGGGGTGGGGGCGGGTGCACCAGGGGTCTGGGGGCTCAGCCACTCACCCCTCCCCGACGAGCCCCTCGTGCTCCTCAGCAAGGCTCTCCCTGCGGAAGGGCAGGACCACCAGCCGGGTGCCATAGATGAGCATGGCGGCGCAGCGCCCGTCGGGGTCCACCCGCACTCGTGGTGTGTGCACATTCTGCACGAAGCCGTCCTGAGGACAGAGGGTGCTCAGCGAGCCACAGGCAGGACGCTGCAGTGGGGCGCTCACAGAGAGGGAGACCTACCCGAAGCTCCGGCTCCTCGAAGTAGTGCAGGGACAGGGTCTTCAGGTCATGGGTGCCCGGGTCGTACTCCACCACTGACAACTGAGGGCGGAAGTTGCCTGCTTGCCACCCACCCGCCCACTCACCGGCAGCCCCACCCACTCACCAGGCGGGCTGCCCGCACCACGCCCACCAGGCCCGCCCACTCACCTTGGCGTCCTTGAAGCTGAGCAGTAACGCGTCCCTCTTGGCCCCCGCCAGCTGCACGCTGGCCATGGACATGACGTTGCCAAAGAAGGAGAAGGAAGCCACCAGCTCCAGCTTCTCCCGGTGGGCTTTCCCCTCTGGGGGCGAGGCAGCCAATCAGCCCAGGGCCTCGCCGGCCCCCCACAGCCCCAGGGGCAGGACCCAGGCAGCCACCTCTGCTCACCTGTGCTCCTGTCATTCTTGGTCAGAGCCTGGAAGAGGGAGGAAAGGAGTGAGGGGCCTCCCACCCGGAGCCGGAGCCGGAGCCGGAGCCGGAGCCAGGGCCTGCCACCGGAAGCCTGGGCAACCCTCCCCGTGACAGAGCCTGCGCACTGGGTGCTCCTGGAGGCAGCCGGCTGCGCAGGCCTAAACCGGCCAAGTCCTTCCCCAGGCCACCCCCCAACTCCTCCACGTGAGCCCCGACCTCACAGCTTCCCCGGCTGCCCTGGCAGCCCCCAGCCCACCTGGCTGGGTACCCACAGTCCGCCCCGCCCCAGGCAGCACTGCAGGCGGGCTTTGTGGCCCAGAGCTCCCGCCCAGGGTGCCCACTGGGGTGCAGCTACCTCTGGTAGGGGCTTGGCCCAGGTGAGGAAGACAAAGGCCCCAAGGTCCCTGCCTTTCCCTAAAGCAGGGAGCTGTCTGTTCTCGGTGACTAAGCAGCAATGGAGCCAGCACCGGCTTCAAGACAACAGCCCCTCAAGGCAGGGTTCAAAGCAAGGAAAAGGAAATATTTTTCATAAAGTAATTGTGCTACTGGGAAAGCACCTAAAAAGAGCTGCTAGAGGAGAGCCACATAAGCAGCTTCTTAAATGCAGAAGAGGTACTCTTAAAGTCAGTGCCCACTTTCAAACAGCAGAGAAAACTTCAGGCCCAGAGGTCATTGCCAGCAGATTCTACCAGACATTTTAGAAATAACGTTTTTTGGGGGGCCACTGAGTGGTGTGGTGGTTAAGGTTCTGGACACTCCCACACGGACAATGATGGTTCAAGTCCCGGACCTGGTGGCTTGCTTTCTCACTTTCACTCTCTCTTTCTATGTCTCTCTCTAGTCAAATTAAAATAAATGAATGAATTAGTTAAGTTAATAATTCTTTTTTTAATTTAAAAATTAAAAACAAATAGATAACATTTTTTGAGGGCCAGCAGGTGGCATGGTGGTTGGGGAGCTGGACTCCCACGTGGCTGACTGCAGTTCAAGTCCTGGACCTGGCAGCTTGCTTTCTCACTTTTTCTCTCTCTGTCATTGATAACTACAGTGAGTTAAAATAATAAATAAAATAAAATGATCTTTTTTTAAAAAAAAAGAATGTTGGGACCAGCAGTTAGCGTAATGGCTGTGTCGCTGGACTCCCACGTAGTCAACTGTGGTTTGAGTCCTGGACCCAGTGGCTTAAAACTCACGTCAGGCGCGTGTGCGTGCGTGCCCAAGATCCCGAGAGGAGAATGGAGAAGAAGGGATTGCGGCGTGGCCATCCTCCTGGGGGGTGGTTTCTCACTTTCTGTCTCTCTGTCTCTCTCTCTCTTTCTGGCGAGCACACGCGTCCTATAGCAAAAACTTCTCAAAAAAAAAAAAAAAAAAACGTTTTTAAAATTTCAAAAACAAAACAAAACAAAACAAAAAAAACAATGGCTGATGATACCCCCAAGGAAATACAGGCAGCGCCAATACCACGGGCCACCAGGTGGGGCAAGTCACCCCACTCTTCTATACCTGCACAGACGCCCACGTGCAAGGGGCACTGGCACCTCTGTGCCTTACTCAGGAGCAGCAAGTTCTCACTGTAACTCCCCACATGTCAGGTGTGAGGAGAGAAGTCTGCTTAGCACATATAAAACAGCATTTGATAAAATTCTCAACCCATGCGGGCCAGCAGGCGGCATGGTGGTTAAGGACACTGGACTTCTACATGGCCAACTGCAGTTTGAGTCCTGGATCTGGTGGCTTGCTTTCTCACTTTCCCTCTCTCTCCCTCTCGCTCTCTCACTCTGTCCCTCTCTGGTCAAATTTTAAAATAAATAAAATGGCTATTGTTTCTGGACTCCCATGGAGTCGACCGTGGTTCGAGTCCTGAACCCGGTGGCTTAAACTCACACAGGTGCATGTGCGCGTGCCCAAGATCCCAAGAGGAGAATAAAAGAGAAGGGACTGCAGTGTGGCCATCCCCCCGGGGGGTGATTTCTCACTGTCTGTCTCGCTGTCTCTGTCTTTCTGGTGAGCGCATGCACCCTATAGCAAAAAGCTCCCCCCCCAAAAAAAAAAAATTCTCAACTCATTCACGAGAAGAATCCCTAGAATCGCAGGACCAGTAGGTCGGGTGGGTTTGGGTGTTAAGGCGCTGGCCTCCAATGTGGCCCACCACAGTGGGAGTCCCCAAATGCCTGAGAGGAGGAGGTTCTAGAAGGGACCACAGTATGGCCATCCCCTCTGGGGGTGATCTCACTTTCCCTCTGTCCAGTGAGTGTATGAGCCCATGGAAAAACCTTCAAAAACCTCGGAATAGCAAGAGTACAAAGGAACTTCCTTAATCAAATAAAAAGTATCCTCGAAAAGCCTATAGCAGAATCAGCAAGGTGGCTTAATGGTTATGTCGCTGGACTCCCACAGAGTCGACCACAGTTCGAGTCCTGGACGTGGAGGCTTAAAACTCACATCAGCTCGGGAATCAGCAGTTAGCGTAATGGCTATGTCGCTGGACTCCCACGTAGTCGACCACGGTTCCCGTCTCGGACTCGGTGGCTTAAAACTCACGCCGGGCGCGTGTGCGTCCGTGCCCAAGATCCCGAGAGGAGAAGGGACTGCGGCGTGACCATCCCCCCTGGGGGGTGATTTCTCGCTTTCTATCTCTCTGTCTCTCTCTGTCTGTCTGGCGAGCGCACGAGCCCTATAGCGAAAACCTCTCAAAAAACCGCTCTCTCACTCTGTCCCTCTCTGGTCAAATTTTAAAATAAATAAATAAAATAATTCTTAAAAAAATAAAACAATTCTCTGGGACCAGCAGTTAGCTTAATGGCTATTGTTGCTGGACTCCCATGTAGTCGACCGTGGTTCGAGTCCTGAACCCGGTGGCTTAAACTCACACAGGTGCATGTGCGCGTGCCCAAGATCCCAAGAGGAGAATAAAAGAGAAGGGACTGCAGTGTGGCCATCCCCCCGGGGGGTGATTTCTCACTGTCTGTCTCGCTGTCTCTGTCTTTCTGGTGAGCGCATGCACCCTATAGCAAAAAGCTCCCCCCCCCCAAAAAAAAATTCTCAACTCATTCACGAGAAGAATCCCTAGAATCGCAGGACCAGTAGGTCGGGTGGGTGTTAAGGCCCTGGCCTCCAATGTGGCCCACCACAGTGGGAGTCCCCAAATTCCTGAGAGGAGGAGGTTCTAGAAGGGACCACAGTATGGCCATCCCCTCTGGGGGTGATCTCACTTTCCCTCTGTCCAGTGAGTGTATGAGCCCATGGAAAAACCTTCAAAAACCTCGGAATAGCAAGAGTACAAAGGAACTTCCTTAATCAAATAAAAAGTATCCTCGAAAAGCCTATAGCAGAATCAGCAAGGTGGCTTAATGGTTATGTCGCTGGACTCCCACAGAGTCGACCACAGTTCGAGTCCTGGACGTGGAGGCTTAAAACTCACATCAGCTCGGGAATCAGCAGTTAGCGTAATGGCTATGTCGCTGGACTCCCACAGAGTCGACCACCGTTCGAGTCCTGGACGTGGAGGCTTAAAACTCACATCAGCTCGGGAATCAGCAGTTAGCGTAATGGCTATGTCGCTGGACTCCCACGTAGTCGACCACGGTTCCCGTCTCGGACTCGGTGGCTTAAAACTCACGCTGGGTGCGTGTGCATGCGTGCCCAAAATCCAGAGAGAATGGCAGAGAAGGGATTGTGGTGTGGCCATCCCTCCGGGCAATGATTTCACGCTTTCTGTCTCTCGGCACAACGTCCCCATTCCCCTCTGTCATCTGGACACCTGCTTCCGGTGCCCTACGAGGTCTGTCAGAGCAACACCAATAGCAGAGCACAGCACCCAGGAACATCAGAGCCCAAAGAAAAACTAGACAGAAAAAGAAATGCTGCCTTCATAAAAGTTGCCCGAGAGGCCAGCAGGTAGCTATGTTGCTGGAGTCCCACATGGTAGACTGCAGTTCGAGTCCTGGACCTGGCAGTTTGGAACTCACACCAGGCACAGGTGCCTGCGTGCCCAAGATCCCAAGAGGAGAGTGAAGGAGAGGCTCGTATAGCCATCCCCCCAAGGGGCAATTTCTGGCTTTCTGTCTCTGTCTCTCTGGAGAGTATACACACCCTATAGCAAAAATCTCTAAAAAAAAAAAAAAAGAGAGAGAGAGAGAGAAAAGTTGCCTGAGATTAGCTGATCATCATGAATTTGACGCTCTCCCTCAGTTTGGGAAAATGTCTGGTCTTTTTTTTTTTTTTTTTTAAGGATCATTTTATTATTCCTTCAGCTATTGTTCCTGTCCTCGCCCCCAACTCCACGCCCAGAGTTCCAACAGCATGTTAGATCATTTGACTATGTCCACATATTTCTTAAAATTCTTTTTCACAAACATGAAGTGAGAAGACAGTGAAAGAATGTTTTAAGGAGCTGGAGAATAAAGTCAACTGAGAATTCCTTTTTTCTTTTTGCTGTAGGGCTTTCTGTGCACGTGCTCAGCAGAGAGACAGTGAGAGGGAAAGTGGGAAAGCACCCCCGGGGGATGGTCATGCTGCAGCCTCTTCTCTTCCACTCTCTTCCTGGGATCTTGGACATGCACACACATGTGCCCAGTATGAGTTTCAAGCCACCAGGCCTGGGACTCAAACTGCAGTCAGCCATGTGGGAGTCCAGCAACATAACTGCTATGCCATCTGCTGGTCCCTGACAAGTGGGTCCTTTCTTTTCTTATTTTTAAGAATTATTTAATTAAATTTTATTGATTTATTTATTTTAATTTGACTAGAGAGGGACAGAGTGAGAGAGAAAGTGAGAAAGCACGCCACTAGGTCTGGGACTCGAACTGTGGTCACTCGTGTGGGAGTCCAGCACCCTAACCACCACACCACCTGCCAGCCCCAAGAACTGGGTCCTTTCTGATGAGAAACCCACTGCAACTCCAGAAGCACAGTGAACCTACGGCTTGACGTGGGAAGGGCTGAACTTGGAGACTTCCCACCCATAACCATGTAGGTCTTTGCTGGAAACTAACACTCGTTTTCAGAACGCGTCCTCTGGTTTTGTCCAGACTGTGGGCTCCTGTCCCGCCTAGCTGTCCACCACAACTGCCAGGCTACATGCTACCACATCTCCAGGCCACTCTCCCCGGCCCCAGACCGCCCGCACTACCCGCCTTCCCTGAGGACTGCGGGTAAGCTGGTCACCACCAGAGCTAAGCTTGCCCTTATGAGAGAGTCCTGGCCAGGTTCACGACAGTTCACGAGGGGCTGTGTCCTCTTCCGAACGGGCCTAACGGGCCTGGGCAGGGCCTGCTGTGAGGGCGGGCAGTGGGGTCAGGACGCCATGCCTGGTCTAGGTCTTCCATGGCCGGTCCTAGGGTCCTGAGCTCCCGTTAATACCCCCGTTCCAGGCCAGCCAGCTACGATGTGGGAGGTGGGAGGGCTGGGAGGGCAGGGGGCAGAGAAAGAGACTCGTCCACCCACAGCGCATCAAGGCACTGCCGTGCTCACTGCACCTCCCCAAATGCCTGTATGCAGCGAGCGCTTCACAAGCTCCTGCAGAAAAAACACCCAAAGGTATTCCAGTGGGCTCTCAACCCACGTGTTAGAAACGTAATGTGGGGCTGGCAGGTAGTGTGGTATTTAAAGGCAGTAGATTCCCACTTGGCCAATCATGGTTCAAATCCTTGACCTGGTGGCTTCCTTTCTCACTTTCTCTCTCATTCTCTGGTCAAATTGGAAAATAATAATAAAGTTAAAATAATTCTTTTTTTTTTTTGAGAGGTTTTAAAATAATTCTTTTTTTAAAATGTAATGATATAACAACCACTAATTTGTAAAAGCTGACTAGCACCAGAAAAAAAAATTTACTGGAGTTAAAAAACTGAATCTTGGGAGCTAGCAGGTAGCGTGGTGGCTAAGGGTGCTGGATTCCTACATGGCCAACCACAATTCAAGTCCTGGACCTGGTGGCTTGCTTTCTCACTTTTCATCTCTCTCATTCTGTATCTCTCTGGTTAAAGTAAGATAAACAAATAAAAAAAAAAAAAAACTGAATCTTGGGACCAGCAGGTGGTAAACACATGCCATGCACGTGAGCATGTGTGCCCAGAGTCCTGAGAGGAGAACGGAGGACAGGGGGCTGCAGTGTGGCTACCCCTGGGGGGTGATTTCTCTGTCTCTATGGCGAGCATGAGTGCCCTATAGCAAAAATCTTACTTATAAACAAAACAAAACGAAACAAACAAAAAATCCCTGAATCTTGGGGCCAGTAGGTGGTGTGGTGGTTAAGATGCTGGACTCCCACATGGTCAACCATGGTTGAAGTCCTAGACCTGGCGGCTTGCTTTCTCACTTTCCCTTTCTCTCTCTCTCTCTGGGCAAATTTAAAAAATAAAATAAAATAATAAATACAGTTGGGGACCAGCAGATGGCATGGTGGTTAAGATGCTGGATGAACCACAGTGCAAGTACCGGATCTGGGGGCTTGCTTTCTCACCTTCTCTCTCGCTCTCTCGCTCTCTCTCATCAAGTTAAAATAAATGAATGAATAAATTAAAAATAAGTAAATAATTTTTAAAAAATAATATAAATTTAGTTAAGGACCAGCAAATGGTGTGGTGGTTGTGTCACTGGACTCACACATGGTCAACCACAGTCCAAGTCCCAAACTTGGAGGTTTGAAACTCACTCTGGTGCATGTGTGTGCATGCCCAAGATCCCAGAGCAGAATGGAGAAGGGACTGCAGCATGGCCATCCCCTCTGGGGAGTGATTTTTCACTTTCTGTGTCTGTCTCTTCAACAAGCACATGCACCCTATAGCAAAAATCTTTCTAAACAAAATAAATAAAGTTAAATAATTCTTTTAAAATAATAATAAACTTACTCTTTCAGAGTCAGTAAGTAGCGAAGCAGTTAAGGTACCAGATTCCCATGTGGACTATGGTAGTTTAAGTCCCAGACCCAGTGGCTTAAAAATCATCCTGGGGGGACCAGCGGGTGGCGTGGTGGTTAAGGTGCCGGACACTCCCCCATGGCTGACCACGGTTCAAATCCTGGACCTGGTGGCTTGCTTGCTCACTTTTCTGCTTTCTCTGTGTGTTTCTCTCTCGTCAAATTTACATAAATTAATGAATAAATTAATTTTAAAAATCATCCTGGGGGGACCAGCGGGTGGCGTGGTGGTTAAGGTGCCGGACACTCCCCCATGGCTGACCACGGTTCAAATCCTGGACCTGGTGGCTTGCTTTCTCACTTTTCCTCTTTCTCTGTGTGTTTCTCTCTCGTCAAATTTACATAAATTAATGAATAAATTAATTTTAAAAATCATCCTGGGTACATGTGTGTGTGTGTGTACTTAAAAACCCAAGAGGAGGGGACCAGCAGGTGGTGTGGTGGTTAAGGTGCCGGACACTCCCCCATGGCTGACCACGGTTCAAATCCTGGACCTGGTGGCTTGCTTTCTCACTTTCCCTCTCTCTCTCTGTCTCTCTCTGGTCAAATTAAAATAAAAATGAATGAATAAATAAAATTAAATAAATAATTATTAAAAAAAAAAAACAAGAGGAAAATGGAGAAGGGATTCCAGCCTGGTCAGGGGTTAAAACTCAGTTTTAAAACTCAGGCAGTTTCAAAATTCGGACAGGGTGGCTTAAATTTATGCCAGGCCTATGTGTGTGCCCAAGATCCCGAGAGGAGAATGGAGAAGGGATTGAGGTGTGGCCATCCCCCCGGGGGGTGATTTCTCGCTTTCTATCTCTCTGTCTCTCTCTTGTCTGTCTGGCGAACACACAAACCCTATAGCAAAAAACCTCTCTTAAAAAAGGAGGAAGAAGTAGACCTTTGCCAGCCCTGACCACCTGCTGTCAGCTGCTGCTCTAAACCCTTGGGCGGCCGCCTCTGCAGAGAAGCAGGGATGTGCTGCTCAAGAGAAGCGGAGGGGGGGGGTTGGCAGGTGACATGGTGGTTAAGGGCACTGGACTCCCACATGACCAACCACAGTTCAACTCCTGGGCCTGGCAGCTTGCTTTCTCCCCTTCTCTCTCTCTCTCTCTGTCTGTCCTTCTCTGATCAAATTAAAATAAATAAAGTTAATTTAAAAAGTTAAATAATTTTTTAAGAATTACTTATTTAATTTTATTTGTTAATTCGCTTATTTCAATTTGACTAGAGAGAAACACCCACAGAGAGAGAGAGAGAGAGAGAGAGAGAGAAAGTGACAAAGTAAGCCACCAAGTCCAGGATTTGAACTACGAATGGCCACGTGGGAGTGTCCAGCACCTTAACTACCACACAACCTGCTGGCTCAAATTTTGAAAACATCTAGAAGAGAGAAGCTGGGGGAGCAGCCAGTGGTGTGGTGGTTGGGGCGGCTGGATCCCACAAGGCTGAGTGCACAGTTTGTTTTATTTATATTTAGTCACCGTACATCTTTCCGGTGTACAACAGTTTCCCCCAGCATGAATACAGTGCATACTAGTCACGTCAAAGAGATTACCATACACGTATCATCAGCAGATAACTTTCCATTTTTGCGTTTATCAAATGTGTTTTTTCCCTGATCCCCTCCCTCTCACCCGACTACCCCGCCACATTGTCTCTAGTATCTAAAAATATGGAACACTTCATGTATTTGCATGTCATCCTTGGGCAGGGACGTGCTAATCTTCTCTATATTGTTCCAATTTTACTGTTTGTGTGGCTTAAGCAAGCATCTGACTGCGCAGTTTGGGTCCAGACTGGTGGCTTGAAAAATGTGCCCAGCATACGTGCCGATGTGCCTAGAATCCCGAGAATAAGGGACTGTGGTGTGGCCACCCTGGGGGAGGCTTTCTCACCTTCTCTCTCTCTCCCTCTGGCAAATGCATTCATACTCTATAGCAAACTTACAAATGTGTATGTGGGGGGTACATGGCGAACTCCAGGCCGGTGGGCGGGTGCGTCTGCTTATACACGGCATACATGGCGTGATTAAGGTGCTGGACCACATGGCCAAACGGGGCCAGAACTGGTAGCTTGAAAATCATGCCAGGAGTACGTGTGTGCATGCTCAAAATCCCAGGAAGAGAATGGAGAAGGGATTGTGACATGGCCATCCCCCAGGGAATGAATTTCTTACTTTCCCTTTAACTGTCTCTGTCTCTCTCTGGCGAGCACACATGCCCTTTGGAAAAAAACCTCTTAGAGAAAGAAAATGAGAGAGAGAAATTGGATCCCACCCACATGGTGATGGTGGCTGGAACCCCTGACCTAGTCAGTCTGAAACGTGGCAGGCATGTACAGGAACACCCAGAAGCAAGGGTGGAGGGCTGGAGGAAGAGGGGCTGGTAGCGCAGCCAGGCCTATGGAGGGCACACCTCTCCACCATAAATGAAGAAAAAATTAAAAACATACAAAGGTGAGCACCTGCACCTGCACCTGCACCTGCTTTATAGGGAACAGTCTATCCCCAACACCCCTTGCACTCCACACCAGGCTACCCTGCACACCTCCCACCCTCAACTGTCTGTCTGGCCTGTGCACAGGCTGTTCCTTCTGTGTGGACAGCGGTCAGGTTTCTGCACTTCTGCTTGGAATACCCTCTGGTCCCAGACCTGGGCTAAGTGTTAACTCCTTCAAAAACAGTCAAGAAGTTGCCTCTCTGCTTAAGAATCCCTGTATTTCCTCTACCAATAAGTTTGACCCACATCACTAAAAACTCTGCCAGTCGTCTTTCCTCTACAAGAGGCCGGCAGGTGGTGTGGTGGTGAAGGCGCCAGACGCCCACAAGGAGTAAGGATCGAGTCCCGGACCTGGCGGTTTGCTTTCTCACTTTCCCAAGTGCACCATCTCTACTCCCTCTGTCACACCCTCTATGGCACTTATTGCAATCTGCAAAGTATTCAAACGAATGCAGTTGCTCGGCCGCCGATCTCCTCCCCAAGGCGTCTCCAGTTCGGTTCCCCACAGTCCCCCAGCTGGCCAGCACACAGCAGGCATTCGCAACAGCTCGCCGGAAAAAGAAAGCGCAGTAAGACGCCGAGGCAGGGCGCGGGAGAAGTGGGGGACCGAAGGCGCACCGGGCGGGCCGGGCGCAGTCCCGACCAGCCTACCTCGGCGTCGCGGTTGAGGCGATACACGTAGAGCTGCGAGGTGCCGGCCACCACGAGGTTGCGCTCGCTGTTGTTGAAGAAGTTGCAGTACATGGCGAACTCCAGGCCGGTGGGCGGGTGCGCCTGCTTGTACACGGCATACATGGCGCCCAGCCCGCCGCGCGGGACCGACCACGCAGGAGGAGTGGGGCCGCGCGCGGGACAGCCGCACCGCCTCGCTTGCCGCCACCCGCCC